TCTCTGAGGACAGGAACCCAGTCCACTGTACGCACACAACAGAAAACATTAGGGACAGGAGATGCAAGAAATCAATCCATGATGTGTGATGTGGAGCAGTGAGTGTGTGTTTACCCAGCGTGTAGATGATGCGCATGGTCATCTGGATGCTGAGGAACATGAGGGCCCAGCCTGCAGCCCTGAGTCCCCACGTCTTCATACTGTTGGACTGCTGCTCCTTCTCAAAAATCTCCTACAGAAACAACAGAACGATCAACTTCTAGAACCAAAGACTACGTGGAAAATATCAAAACATGCTATGTATGCATTTTTCTATGCTGATTCCTTCTAACCATCATTTTCAGATGTTTTTTCTTCCTAAGAACTATAATTGACGGCATACACAAACATTTCTGGAACATTTAAATTCAACTGTATGTTAATAACAAGACTTTGACAATTCAATAACTTCCCCAAAGCTGTCCAAGGAATCAAATGAAATCCCCGCTGACCTCTGCAGAGAGCTCCTCCAGGTACAGGATCTCCAGAGTGTCTCCTGACTTGGTTCTATACGGCCTCAGCTGCTCCCCTCTCTGCATGGCCACAACACTGACCTGAAAACAGTCATGGTTTATCACAACGAACAAGATTTCATTAGAATTAAAGGTATGTGATCTGAAGAAAGATATAGTTTCAGTTAGGGCTAAAACACTTAGGCCGGAATAAGATCTTAAGACAATTAATTGGCCACTATTTTGGTTACATAGAAGTAATTTTACAGAATTCGTTTTTTTTTCTTTATTTTAATTAACAGAAGAAAGGACGTTTTAGATTGCTGGTTGAGCAAACAATGATTTCAATAGTTCTCATTGGGCTGAATGAAATAGTGGCTATAACGAATAACTATTTGTATTATTAGTTCAATGTTTTGCGTTATTTTTTTATTAAGCATTTAGTCATGTTTAGTTATGTGTGAGAGACCAAAGAGAAATCTATTTTCAAGACTTTGATGTTAATGTTGCGCCAAGTATAGCGCAGCACTATGCATTTGTTTATGAGGGGTCAAAATGTTCTGGGTATAAATGCTCATATTTTTTCCACACAAGATGATAAATATACACATTTTAGGAAAAGTCACAAAGTTTGAGATGAGTGGGTTTTATGTTTACAGGGTAACATTTATTTGAAAGTGCAGGGAGATAAAAATGACCCTGTGGCGGTTCTAGTGTTGATACCAAAATATCACACAAGGATACAGTGGAAACTACTTAAAGACAATGATCTACTGCTCTGCCATCATGAAGGAAATGTATATTCTAACTGGTCCACTTACAGTTTGAGCCGGTCCGAAGGGAGACGTCTCGCCACTCAAACCAGCGAAGGAGAATCTCACGCGCACATCCCCGACCTTGTGAGCAAAACAATAAACTCAATAACTGCACCAATGTATGTACGAGCATAACCCTTCAGCAGTTTATGTTTGTAGTGAAAGTGAAAGTGCACTTCATGAGGCTCACCTCAGGCCTGCGTGGGTTTTGGGTGTGATAGAAATAATCGTCATCAATGCTGAGGAAAGGGTCGATGTTAAAGAGGGATAAATCCCTCAGGCTCAGCGTCTGGAAGTTATTTATCTGCTCCACCAGGCCTGAGGACAACAAAACAGTTAGTTAAATATTTAGGATTCAAATTAAAACAATGTTACATACACACAATAGTGTATCGCTGTCATTTACTTAATGTATTTGTGTGTATAATTCTGTAAAGGTACCTTTGGACAGACTAAAAGGTCCAACTCCAACATCAGGAGCCACGACTGTCACACTCCCAACTGCCATGGCACTAAAATCAAGAGATGAAATTAGAGATAAACTGCACACAAACACACAAAAATGTTATTTATTGATCCATATTTGTGTACCTCGGGTTCTGGTGACCAATTTCCTTATCAAAATGGCGACTGTTAACCAACTCGGATTTCCACTCGGTGTCTAAAGAAAATGCACTCTTTAATTCAAACAGCACAGATGAATCCATTAGTTGTATTTTAATAATTTTTCTACGAATAAAAAGAATTAACATCCTTAAAATCCAGATATATGTTCCAGAATATCCAGTATTTAAGTTGTGGACAAAACAAGATTTGAGATAGACATTTTTCACTATTTTCTGACATTTTATACTTTACAGCATGTTGTTGTCAAATACTGGAAAAATCACCAACTCACTGTAGTTGTATGTCGTCTCAGATTTGGTCTGACCATCCTCTTGGTAATCCCTAAAATCAGAACAGAGTAACAAACTCACTTCAAGCCAATGATGCTCTGTATTCCAGCCAACATTTTTCCACCCGACCGCACCCTGAATGTTGTCATAAGCAGAGAACAGACTTACTTGCTCTCCTGGTACTCCACCCACTGATACATCTCCACCTGCCTCTTCAGTTTCACTGCCTGCACCAACACTCTGTAGTTTGGATCGTGGAGGGGCTATGAACAGAGCGGAATCTGATTAATCTCCTGAAATAAGGTTTACTTCAGAATATGACTTTAACTAAGCAACTTAGAATGTTTTCTGGTAGCATGCCATTTAATTAAAGTGTCGAACTAGATAAAGAATTAAAGAAAACGAAGAAAATGATATCAAGATGTTTCCCCTAATCTGGACTGAACTTGTCAAATATATATACTGTACTTATATATCTATATCAGCATTTTCTGACATGAGTAGATAAATATAGAATACCGCCTGACTGATAAAGGATTTGTGAGATACAGATTTAAACACACTGAAAATGAAGTGATAATTTTTTACTAAAATATAAACGTTTTGTTGATAAGGATCTTATTTGGTTGTTACAGAATTGTACATAGTAGTATTTCCAAAATCAAAAGTATGTATTTTTAACAATGACACAAAACTTTCCAGTGGTTTTCAAGGTAAATCAAGATTTTAGCTGAAGTGTGGAAGATAAAACAACATGCAAGGAGTCATCGAGACATTGTGGAGGAATCTGATGACCATAAATACTCAACAAGTTGATCCCAGTTGTTTGCTTCAGAAATTACAAAAAACGATGGAGTCTTTATCAGTATGTGATTAGAGCGAGTGCTCTGACACATCATTTTACCTGTGAGGTGTGCAGCTTTGCAGACAGATGAACTAAACGGTCGTTGTTCTGCGAGTCGAGGTGGGAGAAAGGCTCCAACGACACAACCTGAGAAAGACCCTCATCCAGGGAATATGCTGTTCGCAGAGCCCGCCCCTGTGAACAGAAACAGTGACAGAGAGCATGAACTGTGTTGGTCTGGATGAACAAAAGTGTAACTCTGACTTGAACAGTGTGCATTGTGGCTTTGACGTGACATACATGAATGCATTCCTTACCTCATTGGTGAAGAGAATATAGATGGAGAGGAAAAACAGTCCGACACCAACAACTGTTCCTCCTGCAGTCTCACTTAATCGCTCCAGGAATCCAGGGTTGGATTTAACAGACACACGCTTGTGTTGGTTTGGGTCCGTAATCTGAGACAAAAAAGCAACAAGAACAAGAGTTGAATGCACTAGAAATATGGGTGACATTATTGACTTGAAGAGGAAGTTTTGATAAATCACTCAAGTTAATACATTTTGGCTTTATATTCTCCTCCACAACAGGACACAAATGTATGTCATGTTTACTTTAAATAACTATTTGTATTATGTTTAATGTAGCATGATTCACCAGGACATTAGATAGTAATATAAAAGACTTGCCTAGCAGTCACTAGAATAGTTTACTAACATAAAACTATAGAGAGTTTGGCTTGTCTCCCCTGACATAATGAATAACTCAATGAGTGTTGATGGTGGAGCATCAATTAAAACGTTAAGCTCATTTTTATGTTTTGATTATATATATACCGTCTGTTGCTGTTGTATAACATTGTAAAAGCTGCTTTTACTTTAAACTCCAGGAGAATGCTCTCTAAGTGATGTTGAACATTACAGACAGATATGCAAAGTCAAAATCTGTCTAGAGCTAGGCGTAACGGACACACCTCTTCTGTTCTGTGCTAATTTGACTTCTGAATATAAATATGTCAGTCAAACTTTGACTGATAGTTATTGCATGATATTAGCAGTACTCGTGTAATGTTACTATATAGGTGCTGACGTTAATTTGCATTATATTAACGTGAGTTAACGTAAACGTTTATCAGTATAGATGTTAACGTTAACTGAAACTGAAAAAGAGTTATGTCGCTAGCGTTGCAGCAAAGCTAACTCCAGAAACTGTTTTTGTTTCTCAGGTAAAAACAAAGCTTCTTAAAATGAATCACTTACTGTCTGTGCTGAAGACATGTCTCTGACTTGTTGAACTCTGCAGTCAAACAGAAACGTTTGTTAGCGAGAGTTGAAGATGCCAGGAGACAGGAAGTTGAAACCATACAGTCTATGGTTGAAACACGGTACAGGACAGTGAGGACACCAGTGAAATGACACAGGGAGCGCTTTAATTGACACCCGGGGTAGAACGGAACTCTCACGGGTAGGCGGAGTCGGTACAACCGATAGAGGTATGTTCCACTATGCCGCATGGTTGTCACGGTAAGTTAAACAAGCGCATCTCAAGGGGGCTTTCCCGACCCACACGTCTACTTCGCAAAGCATTATGGGTAGTCGAGTTCTGAAGCAGCTCAGCGTCAGCAGCAAGCAATCCTACTGCAATTTCTTAAGACATTTCATTCTCTAATAGTTAAAGGTTACGTAATGTTGGAAACTTGGAATTATGCCAGTTAAAGCCATTGTTGTTGCAGTTGTTGTTGCGTGTTAAGGCATTTTTTATTCAGAATTTGTACAATAATTAGTAAAGTACGTAAGTACAATTGACGTAAGTCTACATTACCTGAATAGAACTTTGAATCATGGATCTGAAAACTTTACACACACACACACACACACACACACACACACACACACACACACACACACACACACACACACACACACACACACACACACACACACACTCGATAACACACAAGCAAACAAAGATGTGCCAGTCTTAAGAGGATTATTGCAAAGGCACACAAAGCAATTACTGTCTGTCACCTCCTATCATCATCATCATCAACATATTTGTGAAAACACCTGACTGCACACAGACACCTTCACATAACTGAATAGGTTACACTCGGGAAAAGCACTACGACTGAGGGTGGCAGTAGCAGAACGGCTGAAAAGACTGTTAGGATGGAGGAGTATGATATAATTGTGCTTGGAACTGGAATTAAGGTAATTAAACACATATTTAATGCAAAAAATACAATCATCAATACCATTTACATTTTGTATTACGGTAAGATACAGGCTACTACATGATCTTTTAGTATATATGTACCCTAGACTATTTTACTTTTTAACACTTTATATGAAAGTAGTGGTCCCGCTTAAATGTAAACTTTATTTATTTGTATAGCACCTGTCATGTAAGATGCACAATTACTTAAAAATGCAATGAAAATTCAAAATCTTTCTCATGTAGAACAGAAAAGAGAGCATTGCAGCAGTCGAGCCTGCTAATATTGAATTGAGCATGCATGAGACTCAGTATTTGCGTGGGAGATAAACAGATTTCTAGATAAAAGGCAGTTAGTGTGATGTTACTGATGTGAGATTCAACATTTCTAAGTTTCTAAGAGCTTGTAGGCTTTTATTATGAACTGAGGGCTGACCTCCCCTATCTCTTTCAGGAATGTATCCTTTCTGGTTTATTGTCTCAAAGTGGGAAAAGGGTTCTTCACATTGACAGGAATCCTTACTATGGAGGAGAGAGTGCATCACTTTCTCCCCTTGAAGAGGTTTGTTCACATGAAAATTGCATATCCTTAATTTGAAGAAGTTGTTACCCATTTGTGGTGTTTAATGTTTGATATGTTGTCTACAATTACAGCTTCACAGGAAGTTTAAGGTTCCTGGTCCTGATCAGTCAATGGGCCGTGGAAAAGAGTGGAACATCGACCTCATCCCTAAATTCTTTCTTGCCAACGGTGAGAGCCTAGCGCAGTTGAACTTGTGATAGGTGCATTATTGTAAATGAGTCGTTTTCTGTTCCCTCTGCCTTTGTATTTGCATCAGGTGACCTGGTGAAACTCTTGGTGCACACTGAAGTTACCCGATATTTGGACTTCAAAGTGGTTGAAGGCAGTTATGTTTACAAAGCAGGCAAAGTGCACAAAGTCCCCGGCACAGAAGAAGAAGCCATGCGTGCTTCAGGTGATTAATTTGAACCTGAAGAACAATTCTTAATGATGACTTTTTATTCCATTGATTAATTTTAAAACCAAATGATGTGTTTCAGATCTGATGGGCATGTTCGACAAGAGAAGATTCAGGAAGCTGCTGTTGTTTGCCCTGAACTTTGACATGAGAAATCCTCGGTCCTACCAGGATGTGGATCCTAACAAGATGACCACACGGGACCTCTTCTGCCGCTTCGACCTGGGACTAGATGTCATGGAGTTCACAGGTCATGCCATAGCCTTACACAACAGTGAGAGGTCAGTCACAGGAACTCACTTAAACTGGATAACAAAGAATGTCAGGTGATCATTTTGGTTTCACCGGCCTGGTTCTGTCTCCTGCACCCTGCAGCTACCTGGACCAGCCGTGTGGGGAAACCCTCAGACGGATCCGGCGGTACTCTGAGTCTCTGTCCCACCACAACCCCAGTCCATACATCTACCCCGTGTACGGCCTGGGAGAACTACCGCAGGGATTTTCCAGGTAATATTATAATGAATCAGATTGTCCCCTGAATTATTTTTGATACATTTTAGTTTTTCTTTAAGAGAGGTCAACATAAGATCAACATAGGAAACAAATTGTGGCATACAGGCTGTAAAAAGATCAGACTTTCACTACACAATGTTTGTGGCCAAAATAACTAACAATGACAACAATATTGCGATATCTATAGAAATATTGAAATAACAATAATAATGCTATGAATAATGTCACATTCATCCTTAACTTTGTTTACTGTAAGTGTAACTGTACAAAAGAGCAACAAAAGATGATATAAACAGATAGAAGTTGAGAGGGACTGGATTATTTACACAAATATCAATATTTAATCTTTTAAATTATTGTCAATACTGGTATATTGTGATACCCCTGTGTGGAACTTTGCATTGGCTACTAGATTTCATGATATAGATCAATGACAGAAGATAGCCTGGATGTTTGTAACAATATATATATTTTTAATCTTGCACCATCGACATAAGAGTCACTGTGCATATTGTTCAGGTCCTTATATCCTACCTGGTTCTGTGTTTCAGACTGAGTGCAGAGTACGGAGGAGCTTTCCTCTTGAGCACAGCAGTGGATGAGATCGTGATGGATGACGGAAAAGTGAAAGCTGTGAAATGTGAGGGGAAGGCAAGTGTGTTTACATGGAGGAAGAGTAGAAGTGTTGGGATGTTTGTAGAAAATGTCCAGCAGCACAATTCTTCACTCAAAGATTGTCTTTCTGTTTTCGTCAACAGCTGTTCCACTGTAAACAGCTCATCTGCGACCCCAGCTATGTTCCTCATCGAGTGAGGAAAGTGGGGCGTGTGATAAGAGTCATCTCTTTATTAAATCATCCGGTTAAAAACACCCACGAGGTCAACTCCTGTCAAATCATCATGCCTCAAACGCAACTCAACAGAAAATCTGGTATTTTAATCCCATTTTTTTTACGAAGCATCAACAATTACTAATTATTATTTGAGAATAAATTATTGTGGTTGATTTTGGTTCATAAGAAAACCCTTTTGTTTCATCCATGCAGATATTTACATATCTGTGGTGTCTTATGCCCATAATGTGGCCTCAGCCGGGATGTACATCGCCACAGTGAGCACCACTGCAGAAACCAGAAACCCAGAGACAGAGGTTCAGCCGGCGCTGGAGCTCCTCGAGCCCATCATGCAAAAGTTAGTAATGATTTCATTTATTTATTTATCATGGTTGTGTTAATCAAATAACTTTTTAAAGCTAAATTTAATTCATTTTACATATTTTCTTTTATGGATAGGCAATGACAATGGTAAAATATGAATAACCCCTAATGTCTTCATTCTTAGTTCTATTGTCAGTATGAAGATATATTCATACAGAGAATAAGTATTCAGAGGAATTGGTGTCAGGGTCTTTATTGTATTAATATTTATTTATCTACTTATTATTATTAGTATTATTTTATTATCAGTTCTTATTTTTGTTGTTAAAGTTTTCCAGGCATGTCTTGTCTGTTTGTTTCATTCTGATGCAACACTAATATAAATGAAATGTTTCAAATGTAATGATAAAAGCAACAGTAGAATTACACTCTTTCGAAAAAAATGACGTTATTTTATTTCACCACCTTGAACCTAGATTTGTTTCAGTCAGCAACTTGCTGGTTCCCAATGATGATGGAAAACAGAGTCAGGTAATGAGAAGACTTTCTGTGAAATAAAATAAAACATAAAATGAAATGGGATGAAGTTTGGTTGGTCCAGAGCTGGTGACAGATTTCCTCTCTCCTCTCTGTTCACTAGATATTTGTGTCCCGCTCATATGATGCATTAAACCACTTTGAGACTGAATACGAGGACATTAGAGACATGTACCGCCGGATCACAGGAACAGAGCTCTGCCTCGGAGGATCTCAGAGACATAACTCTCACACCTCGGATGAAGACTGAAAAAGACTTCAGGGACAAGTAATGCAACCGCTGGGAGGCCGTAATAACAATATTGAAGGTTATACTCACGGCCGTGAAGCAGAGGGGGGGCGATGGAGAGTGATTAACTAAGGGAATATCGGATGTTTTTTTTCTAGTTAGTTTGCTATTTATACTTTCTGTGAAATTTAAAAAAAATTAAAATTCATAACAATTTGGAAAAAAACATTTATGATTTGAAGTTTTAATCTTCTTTAATCTTAATTGAAGAATTTACTCAATGTATTCAATATTTTGTTACATTCTGTATTATTTAGATACTCTGGGGATATTAGTATTTTCTATTTTGAATTTGTATAATACTTGCCACTAATGAACATTTTAATTTCTAATTTCAAATTAAAATTCTTACTATATATACTTGCCGCTAATGTTAATTTTTATTTTTATTATATTTGTATCTTATTGCATCTTTTAAACATTTTAAACTAGTGTAATGTTTTACACTGATGATGGAATTTTTTTCTCCAAATTTGGGATAAATAAAGTATATATATATATATATAATGTTTTTGTATGGGACAAGGTGATGCTTTTGACTGATATAAAATCCTGAGAACGCTTGCACTTAGGATAGAAATACATCTTAGGTCTGTATTATTATTAATAAATCATTACTTTATCTAGTATCTAGCTTGGTGTTCATTATTCAATATTATTTATCTGATGGATTTAAACATTGAGACTGACACTGGGCATGTGGCACAGAGGCAGATGATTAGGGGACGAATCCGGGGGATGTGAGGAGGATTTGTGGATCGTCTTATCTTTTGCAGCTTATGTGTGAGAAGGACAAAGCCACTGCATGATGTCATGTGTGGTACACAGGCAGCTTGTAGGGTGGAGCCTGCCTGAGGCAGAGGACACACAGCGTAAGGAGGATTAGCCAAATGAAGGACAGTCACCACCAACACCTCGGGTTGAATACATACACATTGTTTATTGTTCTTATTTATACATTTGTACACAAAGAACCCTTTTATCTGCTGCATAGACCATTGTAGAGTTGCAACGAATAACCGACTAATCAATTACTCGATCAACAGAAAATTATTTTGATCATTGATAAATTAAATAAAAAGATTCAGGCAGAATTGGATAACCTGCATTTCTCTGTTTGGTATCATAGTTATCTGAATATCCTCTGTGTTTGGACTGAAAAAAACAGACATTTTTAGAAACATCACCAGTGAGAAACTGAGATGGAATTTTATAAACCAAACAATGAATTGAGAGCATAACCAGCAAATTAATCAATAATGAAAATAGTTGTTGGTTGCAACCCCAGAAAATAGCTACTCTTCCAGGTGTCTTTACAAAAATAAATATTCCATATCCCACAAAAAACACATGCAAATCATAACAGGTTATTGTTTGTTTCTGTTTATACTTTTTTACAGTCTTTCTGAGACAGCTCACTGCTCAGATGACTGGGTGACGAGGCTGAATTTATCGCGTTTATCTAATAAAGAATAGTTGTTACTAAATAAAGTGTTTCTTTAGAGCTGGACGTCACTGAGTTTGTTCCTTTGGAAGCATTGTGCAGAAGAAGAATAACCCTCCCGTAGACCTTGGGTCAATCAGACACCTCTAAACTCCATCTGCACAAATCAGTCCTTGTTTCTGTTGACACAGCAGCAACTCTTATTCCCGTTTGAGTGACAGCGCCGTGCTGACAGGAGGCGGGATCAGACCTGCAGCGGCCACTCTGCGCTCACTGATCAGGAAGTTGAAGGTTGCACATGCATTTGCCTGCAAAACAGAAGAGATGAAAAAGAAAGACAGAAAGTTGAATTAGGGCGCCTCAATTAGTGTAAGAGCATTGTGTGTGTGAGTCATAAAGTCAGAGAGACCCTGAGAATACTTTACCGTGTCTTGCACCTCCACAGCGATGCCTTTACGCTTGAGTAGAGCGAGGACTGAGGGGTCAATTCGTTCAGTCCGTGAACCTGTGCCCAGCACAAGAATCTCTGGGTAAACAACAAGAAAATATGTCCAGATAAGTGAATAAATGCGGAATAACCTGAATAACTGCTTAGAAAACGTAATGAATGCAAATAAAATGTATTTGTTTCACAGGCTGCAGATGTAAACACTATTTACCATGGGGGATTTTGGACAAACATGTTAAACAGCGCTAAACACCACTATCTTTTTCTGATGTTTCTCTTCACACTATATTTTGGTTTTCTTTTTAATCCATCACTCAGCTACACATATATTTACCTATTCTTGGTTCAAGCATGTGGAAAAGTGAGACGCTTTCTTCTGTGATGTCTTTATGAGTGCCAACCTGCAGAGAGGGAGAGATATTTAATAAACAACAATAAACACAGTTGTTTGACTTCATCATAAATCAGTACTAGTTTGGATATTGATCTCACATTCCACTGCAGGATCGCAGGAGGCAGCAAAGCACAGGGCCCCAACACTTTGTTTCCGTCGACGTTGAATCCTCTGGAGCTGTAGCTGTAGATCATGACCCCGCTGCCCGGCTCCTTCTGCATGATGGACACCGAGGTACGCTGGTACTTCTCATCATCGCTGGGACTCAATCTGTGTGCACGAGACAGAAAGGGGCTGCAACAAACACAGTAGAATTAACTAGAATCAATGTCATTTTATTTACACAGGACTTGTCACTTATACTAACAATAGCAAGTATTAAGAGTGCTTGTAACAAGAGTCTCTGAAATTATGTTTGTATTGCACAGGTCTTATCCTGGGCTGGATGAATGTAATTGTGACCAGTTGTGATAATCGAGTATGAAAGGGAATTATAATCAAAATTATTCGCCCTATTTTCTCTGTGAATCCTCCACCACTTCAACAGGCTGCACTGAGGAACTGTTTCCATGTGGCCCAGTTTGAAAGCCAACATATCTAAAGCCAACCTACTGACAGGGCTGACAGCCAAAAGCTTCAGGCCTGTTTCTTCAGAAAAAAAAGCCAAGAAAAAATTCTGCTTGTCCAAAGAGCAGCCGCACATTTCAGCGTCTTCTTACCCATTTTCTTCCTGACTTTACAAACACATTGGGCAAGCCCTTGTTGAGATGGGACACACTGCTCTTGTTAGTCCACTAGTGTCTCATCAGTGGAGCAGAGGACTTATGAGGTGAGTCAGACTGAAAGTAACCAAAGACTCCACCAGATGGAGCCAGAAGAAGGTTAACGTTTGTTTATAATGGGAATCTTTGAGTTTTAATGGAGTTACATCAAAAACCTTTACACAGAAGATGTCAAAAAGTGAAATCAGTTCACTTTGTATTCCTATTTTCTAAGCAATCATTCAATCAATTGGTCAGCGACAATACAGCACATCCAAACATTACCTTACATGACCTCTAAATGATTTATAGAGTACATATAATCTAAAACAGGTACCCAAGCTGAAAAGCTACACATGTGTCTTCTCAAAACTATGACGTTTTAAATCACAAGTGTTAATAATTAGATGTTATGTGACACATACAGTATGCTCGCCTTGGAATCATATGGTCAATGGTCCATCTCTATTTTCTGTCATATTTGACAAAATACATTGTTGATTATTAAAAAATATACAATGGATGGATGTGACATCCCATGATATAATGTGACCTTCAGTGTAAAGAGCATGACTGGGATAGTAATGGTTATTTTATTTGTGTATTCATTTTAATGGGAATAACACTATGCTATACAAAATAGGGCATACAACTATTTCTTCCTCTGTTAAATAGATATAACTTGTATTAAAGAATGGTGATAGTCGAAGCATTTAATAACAAAGCAGGACTCCTCTCCTCTACCCAGAAGGGAGGAAAGATTAGGGACAGTTGCTGAAGTGACACCAATACAATCTTCATCTTAAAAAAAACACAAACTTTAGAAGAAAAACTACCGTACCTTGAGAGAGCGGGTCCTGCCCTGGAGGAAAAGAGAAACCCGTGTGTTGATCTCTGAAGGAGCAATCTAGCACGCACAGCAGTGGCCATGTTCAACCGGCGACACAGAAGGGGGACGGAGTTCTGTGTAACACCAGCCGTCTGTTTCCGGTGTTGTGTAAAGCTCAATCGAACCATTTTAATTTTACTTGTATTAATGTACTTTCAGTTTAAGAACACTTGAAAACTGGTAAGTTAAAGTTAAAGATGTATTAATTGCTATCGGGATGTTAAGAGCATTCCATGGAATATAACAAAAAGTGTTTCTGAAGTGAATTACCTACCCTACCTTTAATATGTATTAAGTCAGGCACAGGAGATTGTATAATAGTCTACTGTTATTATTTAATTAGTATTTAAACATTTAGAAAGTGTTATCGCTGCCTGTATAAGGAACTATTTTATGAAATGTAATGCGAGGATCCTGCTCTGCCTTCGATTAAGATGCCTGTGTGGAGCAGCAGCGCCCCCTGCGGTGATCATCGATCACTGCACTCAGGTCAGATGATCCGGGCTGCTACATTGTAAATAGACAGCGGCGATCCACCGGGGCCATGCCTTCATAGTCTCTTTAAATCTCCTCCAACAGAGCAGATTTTTCCTCTCGGAGACTACTTATCTTCCGACACCGGTTCTTTCGATATTTCTGGTCATTTCGGCTTGTTAAAGTGTTTTTATTAAAGTATGTACCGGTCTCTGTACGCCTTCCGATCCGCGGAGCCCAACTCGCTGCACTTCGCGGCCGGAGAAAGCTTCCTAATCCTGGAGAGGAGCAACAAACACTGGTGGCTGGGGTCCCGCTGCAGCTCGGGGGAAACCGGCTACATCCCCTCGTCATACATCGAAAAAATACAGGTAAACAACACCAATATCCTGTGCGAGGACCATGTCGCATCCTGGGGTGAAAGTGAAATCTGGTGAATGCGTAGTAACGTTCAGAGTTGAATTGATGGGATCGAGAGAGACAGATCACTCGTAACTGTACTATATGTCCTAAAGTGCAGGCCAAACTGAAGCTGACTGCAGATTATAGTGAGGAAAGAAATGCACGCTTGCTGTAGGATCCATAAATTATTGGAAAGGTTGCATTATGTAGGGACATGGCCCTTCTGCACTGCAGCTGCTCACTGCGACAGAGGGGAGATATAGGA